TTGGTACAAATTATTAAATTAAAAGACCAAGACAAGCCATAAAATTATGTTAATAATTAATAATGATAAGAAAAAAACAGAAAACCAAGAGGAGCGAAGAAATAAGCTTAAGCTTAGCCCTCACTTTACAGCTTGTGTTTACTTTCATATCTGCACAAAAAAAAATATGTGCAAACATGCAAAACTTATATACATTTGGCCTCGAGTTATTAAAACGATTTCAAGGCATGTCACGCGATTCAAGTTGCGGACAATCGGATGAAGTAAAAGAAGGAAATGTGAAATCTCCAAGGACAGGAAAACAAAGAAATGTGTTAATTTTTAATAACAATTCATATAATTTGCACTTAAGGCTCTGACATAAATTATTAATTAAGCAAAATAAGGCAAGAAATTCTTTTGCAACCCTTAAGCTTTATTTTCTGTTTGCCCCATTACAATCCATGTCAATTATCACCACACGGCTTCTGGCCCACGCGGCGTATGAATTACTTATTAAGTATACGCCTAGTTAGCCCCCGCAGATAATGTTTCTATAAGAAAGTAGCAAAATGGGGAAAAAGGAAATATGGTGAAATGTTTGCATTTCACGAATTAATTGAAGCGAAACAAATTAAATCAGAATTAACGAAATGAAGACTATTGAAATTTAGTTTAGGACAAAATAAGTGGTAAGGTTGTCACCTCTCTACACACATTTGGCAATGGCATTTCCTTTTTACCGATTACATGTTTTCCATCTCGGGTCACCTTGTCGAATAATTAATGACCGTGTGCGTGTGTGTCTTAGAAAATTGAAATGCAAATGTAAAAAGGACAGTTGGCACTCCCATTTGGCAAATTTATTAAAAATGTAACAATGAAATCAATTAGTTATATAGCAAAATAAAATCAGAAAATTGTAAAAACGAAGTCAAACCCAAACCAAACACACGCAAATGTTGTTCCGAATCAAAGGTTAAAATACTTAACTTATCGACAATTTGTTTGCCCAGCAATTATTTCACTTTCCAACTTAACTCGAGTGCGAAATGAATTTTGAACTTTAAACCAAGAGTGGAATTTGGAAGTCGATTTGTGAATTACACTTTGACTTTGTGCATTATTTATCTACCCTTCTCTTTTGGCAAGCCGAATAAATCGATGTGGAGCCATGCTCACTATATATAGATATATTTTTCTATATATAGCAACCGTATAGAACAGTTGTTGCTAGGGCCTAAAGTTGTTGCTCTGCAAAATGGGCGAATGCCAATAAAAAATATCAAACAAACAGAGACAGGTATTCGGGGAGCGAAATAGAGGCAAAAACTGAAAAAAACTTGAGTAGTTTAGCAACTTTGTCATCGCAATTTACTTCAAATGGAATGGAATTTTTAAAACTAAGTAAGCAAGTTAAAAGAGCACAAAAAAAGGAGGCAAGTCAAGAGGCAACAAATGTCCAAGTTTTAAGTAGTTTACGTTTTTTATGTCCTCTACACTGCTACAAAACAAGGGGTAAATAAATAATAAACTCCACATGTATCTTATGTTGAAATAAAAGTCGTTTTTGAACTTGGAAAATGTTTCGAATCTCGAATAAGCAGAACTAAAGGTTTAAATATTTCCAACATTTATTTAAGTTTATCTGCAACCTGAATTTGACAATGAATTCTTTGGAAAACAATGGAAATTGTTATAGTGAACACCTTAAAATAAATTAGTTGCAAATTGTAATGGGGATGGGAGTGGATTTTAACAAGAAATCAATGGAAACAAATTACATTTTGTTTTACAAGTTTTATTTTGTTCGCTTCGTGTAAAGTGCAATTTGTATTTTGTATTATTTTTTGTTTTTGGGTGCGAGAGTTCGATTCGATTTGTTTCGGTTTTTGGTTTTCGGATTTTTCGTTGTTGTTGTTGTTGTCGGTCATTGAATGCAATGGCAACAATAACAACAACAACAACAACAATCTCTTTAGAGAGGCAATTGCAATGTACACGAGTGTGTCTGTATGTAAATTGCTTTGTTTATGGGCCAAGCGAACAAAGCAAAAGCGAATAAATCGGCAACAGAGAAGTATATATATATATAGTAGTATAGTACATACAAAGTGTATGTAGATGCCTCCGATTACATAAATACAAAATTTCAATTGAAAGTCGTTCAAGTGCAAAATACGAGAAGAGAAACAAAATAAAAAAAAATTAAAAAAAAAGAAGAGCACATTTGAGCTGAAGACGAATTATTAATGCTCTAAATGTTTAACAGATCTTACTTTTATTGACCATAAATATAAAATATGTAAATATATTCAATTTTGTTTGCTAATTAGCTATGAATACTATTTTAACTATTATTGGGGGTCATTACTATCTACTTTAATACTATTGGGTTATTAACTTTTAATGTTCACAACTTAATAAGTTGCGCACTGATCAATTCTATTTGAGAAGTCTTTGTAAATGTCGTTAAAAATTGAAATGTAAAGATCAGTGACATATAGTCATAATAATAGCCGTAATTTCTCTGTTTGCTCAGTTTTGATGGCGTGCAAACTGCAACGAAATGTAAGCAAAACATGTGAAATGAAAACGTCTAACGAGCTGAAAAGAATGAATGCGATTTTAAAAAGAAATAAATGAAATAGAGATTTTAATGTCGAAAATGGTCGAAAAGTAGTTTTTTTTTCTAATGTACAAAAACAAGCACTTGTGCGCGAAGTTTTCTAAAACGATTTTTAGCTGTTATTCTAAAAAATTTGATTCGATAAATAATCTGATTTTCTTTTGCCACCATTGCTGTTTGAAGATTTTTCTTTCTCTCTGTACATGTGTATTAGATCTTTTTAATGGAAACATCGATTCATTGAACTGCGCTCACATGGGTGCATAAATATATATATATCTATAAAGAGGGGTGGCGTTGGAAAAACCAGTTTTCCGTCTCAGTTTTCTGTCGCTCGACTTCAGTTGAGTTCCAATTGCAATCGCAATTCCACAATTGTCAACTGCCTTTCTCGCCGATTTCTTTTGATTTGAATGCAACCGATATAGGCACACAAATGCATATATATCTATATGTAACAGATAAACACATTTGAAAGATACACAGACAATGGGAACCAGATCTGCACTGCTTAAAAATGTTTTACCCATGTTTGACCCCCTTCAAGGGAAAATGGGTCAACAAATTGATCAACGTTAAAATAAGAAATTGTAATGCAGATTTTTGGAGAATCAAATCACAAGTCTTTAGAGGTATGCCACTTTGAGATCGGATTAAATTTGGTAAAGTTATGGACTCTAGAAGTCCAATGGTGGGTCACCTTTTTACAACTTATCGGAAACTTAGAAATAAGTAACATGAAAATGGGTCAAAAATTTGACCAACGCTAAAATGAAAATTTTGAATGCAGATTTTTAGAGAATCAAATCACGAGTCTTTAGAGGCATGCCACTTTGAGATCGGATTAAATTTGGTAAAGTTATGGACTCCAGAAGTCCAATTGTGGGTCAGCTTTTTACAACTTATCGGAAACTTAGAAATAAGTAACATGAAAATGGGTCAAAAATTTGACCAACGCTAAAATGAAAATTTTGAATGCAGATTTTTAGAGAATCCAACCACAAGTTTTTAGAGGTATGTCGCTTTGAAATCGGACTAAATTTGATGAAGTTATGGACTGTGGAAGTCCGATTGTGGTCACCTTTTTACAACTTATCGGAAATTTAGAAATAAGTAACATGAAAATGGGTCAAAAATTTGACCAACGTTAAAATGAAAATTTTGAATGCAGATTTTTAGAGAATCAAATCACAAGTCTTTAGAGGCATGCCACTTTGAAATCGGATTTAATTTGGTAAAGTTATGGACTCTAGATGTCTAATTGTGGGTCAGTTTTTTACAAATCATCGGAAACTTAGAAATAAGTAACATGAAAATGGGTCAAAAATTTGATCAACGTTAAAATGAAAATTTTGAATGCAGATTTTTAGAGAATCAAAGCACAAGTCTTTAGAGGCATGCCACTTTGAGATCGGATTTAATTTGGTAAAGTTATGGACTCCAGAAGTCCAATTGTGGGTCAGCTTTTTACAACTTATCGGAAACTAAGTAACATGAAAATGGGTCAAAAATTTGATCAACGTTAAAATGAAAATTTTGAATGCAGATTTTTAGAGAATCAAATCACAAGTCTTTAGAGGCATGCCACTTTGAGATCGGATTAAATTTGGTAAAGTTATGGACTCCAGAAGTCCAATTGTGGGTCAGCTTTTTACAACTTATCGGAAACTTAGAAATAAGTAACATGAAAATGGGTCAAAAATTTGACCAACGCTAAAGTGAAAAATTTGAATGCAGATTTTTAGAGAATAAATCACAAGTCTTTAGAGGTATGCCACTTTGAGATCGGATTAAATTTGATAAAGTTATGAACTCTAGATGTCCAATTGTAAGTCACCTTTTTACACGGTAATTGTAACATGCAACACGCAACAATATACAATATAGAACATACATCATAAATGCAACATTCTACATGTAACATTCAATATGCAACATGCAACAGTCAACATGCAACAGTCAACATGCAACAGTCAACATGCAACATGCAACATACAACATGCAACATTCAACATGCAACATGCAACATGCAACATGCAACATTCAACATGCAACATTCTACATGAAAAATGTAATATGCAACATTCAACATGCAACATGTAACAAGCAACATTCAACATTCAACAATCACCAATCAACAATTATCAATACACAGTCAACAATCAATCATTAATCATAAATAAACAATTGACAATTAACAGTCAACATAAAACATGGTAAATGTAAAATAACATAAATGTAATGTAAATGTAATGCTAATAAAATGTTAATGTAAATGTTAATTGGCTCCGTCATCGTCACTAAAATTTTTAATTCCCAACTAGTTCTAGCCAAAAAATTACGACCTATGGGCTGTTTCAGCCCATTAATCAGTTCACTCGGATGTCAGAAAGTGTGAGTGTGTGCTTCTTGAGGGGATCCAGATGATTAATGGTTATACCATTAGAGTTGGATTGTCACCAGGATGTAGGATCAAGGACCTCCGTAAGGTACGTAAATTATATTATTATAAATTTACTTAATAATTTATATAAATTTTAATTCCAGATCATATATGTGTGTCTGTGATTGAGGAGCGGTTGCAGAAGGCTCACAGCGATACCATCTTACTTTGACCGGATGCAGTGCATCAGGGATTTAACTGAGTATGTACTATTATTATAATAAATACAACTCAAAACGTAACAAAATTTATTTTTAAGTGCGAAAAGGTCATAATTCTCAGAGGTTTTCCCAAAGACAGAAAAATTCTATTTCATAATTCACATTTTGAATGTGGGATTCAATCGACCCAAAATAAAAATTAAACTGAAAACACAGATTTTTAGAGAATTAAACTGCAATCATTTTGAGGTATGCCACTTTGAAATCGGAAACCAAGCTGAAACACAGTTTTTTAGAGAATTAAGCCACGATTATTTATAAGTATGCTACTTTGTAATCTGATGTCTGTAAGAATTTTAATTTTGCTTTTTGTCGGTTTGTTTTGAAACCGAATTATTTTTTAGTTTTACTCAACTCCCAGGATCTTATAATCACACTCGTATACTCTTATACGCGTTGGTGTTCCAATTGGCATTTGCTCTCTGTCTCTCCGTCTCAATCTTTCTCTTTCGGAAGTCTAATTGGAAATTGTGACTAGTTGGGAATTGTTCGCTGGCCGCCTTCTCAATGATAATCCAATTAAATAACAACAGTTATAGATCTACGAGAGTATGTCTGTGTGTGTTATTGGGAGGGGGGATGGGGAGTGAGGGAGGTGGTTATATAGGCGCTATATGACCATCTCCCTCGCACCCAAACATTGTCATTTACATTCGATGTATCTGTATCTTTGGGGCAGGGAATCTGTATCTGTAAATGAAGCTGTATCTATTTGCAGTCCAAGTGCATTTATAAATCAAATAATCTCTGTGCTGACGTACGTTTCTGTTTCCAACTTCGATTTGCTTTCACCCTCATACTTTATCGCCGTCCCCGCTTTTCCCCATAAACTCCCAATGACGTCAACGTGCTGCGTTGGCTTCATATCGTGGGTTTTATAAAAATAGGAAAAAAAATAAAACACAAGAAGTGAAGTGGCAACAAGAAACAAACAGCAATTCATAATGGATGCACGGCAAAGGAACCAAAGGGAAAAACTTGCCAAACCATAAAAGAAATAATTTAAGCACTCGGCCAAAATTTTTTATTTATTTTACCCCTATTGTCTTAAACTAGGACAATTCGAATCAAAATCCTTGTATTTTTATTGATCAGGTGATCAGGTTTTTGGTTTTTAATTTATTACTTACTTATAAATTTAAGCAAATGTGTTTGGTCAAAAACGCACGAAAACTTACCTAAAAAGAAAAGAAAATTAAGAAAAATTAGTTAAAGATATTGGTAGTTATATGTTAATCATGTGGTTTAATTCTATAAAAAAGCGAAAATCAGTCAAGAAACTTTTTTTCAAATCAACCCAGGTTGTAAACGAATTGCCACAGTTGGACGCAATTTATTAGAAATTAATTTAGGGATGTGCAGAAGATTAAAAAGTCAGTTTTTTCATAATATTTTTAATAAATTTTAGATTTAAGAATTAATTACTTCCAAATAAAATATTAATATAAACGACGTATAAAACTCGGAATTTTTTAGAACGTTTTTACTAAGTGTATGTTCTTGTGTTATTTTGTGTTCCCCTCGCAATATTATTTTTGTGAGCACTGGTGTCGCCGCACATGTAAAGCCGAGGGTCTTTTATGAGTTTCATTCTCCGACGTTTCTTTGGGAAATAACTTACACAAATGTTCAGCCAAGCAAATTACGTAGTTTATTTCTCTGTGTTCAACAGCAAATTTTAATAATAACACTACTACTACACATAAAGTGAGCAAACAGAAAACTGACGCAATACCCAAAGTCCACAAAAGACAACGTTACACCGAAAAAAATGCTGCAACTTTTATTCAAAAATGATTCACTAAAAATAACATAGAAACAATACCAAGAAAATTGTATTTTTATTTTAATTGCTTGATTCAAACGTCAGTTGTCATTATTAGCTTACATTTCCATTTGACTCGGTATTCTTTTATCTGTTCAAGATTGTTTTCTCTGTGTAAATGAACAAACACACCCCAGGTCAGAAAGATGCTGGTGTATTAGGAGATGGGGCTTAAATGGGACAATTGCCGCATCAGTTAGAGATTTTCTTTCTACCACCTCTTTTTCTTTTCATGACGCATTAAGTAACTGAATAAAGAGGCGGAGGTAACTGGGGGTACAAAAATAAAAGAGAGGGGCATGGTCCAACTCATTTGCACAGGTACAGAAAATGATATAAATATAACCCAAGCTTGAGTATAACAAAAAAAATGTTGTTTCTTTTTTTTTTAAGTTGATTAATTTTTAGATCAATTAATTGTACAGCTGTACTGTAAAACATTTTCAGGTACTTAAATATGATTCGTATATATAAATATTAGATATTATCCAAATTTCAGATGACAGAAACTTGACCATTGGAATTTCAAATCTGCATTAAATATTAATAGTGCCCTTTTTTAAATGTATATTTTTGAAAGCCTTTGGCTTCTTGCATTGACCTTATATTAATATTCTTCATATATTCATGCAGAAGGGTTATTTCCTTTCTAGTCGCAGAGGAAGGTTTGAAGGATAAGAAAAAAAAGAGTGGCCTCGTGTAGGTTCCCCTGAATTCAATCCATATAAATACACCCTATGTATTCCGCATTGTCTCGCCTCTTTGTACATAAGCATTTTAATATGTACCCATATTTGTATCTCAACTCGACAATTGGCCGTTAGTTGTGGGCTGGAACAAAAAAAAAAAAACAAAACAGATTCTCCATATACACACAAAACAATATAATATCATTTTGTGTGTATATGCACCTTGGACGAGGTCAAATTCACACGGAATGTTTGTCGAACTGGGGAGGATAAATAAGTGCCTAAATTGCTTATAGTGGGTGATGTGCACACAATAAATTTAGGAGATAAGGGATTATATATTCAACACTTAACTAAATTTGAACTAAATTTGTAATAATCTCAAACTATTATTCTTTTAATTGGTAAATCTATAGGTAGAATATACTATTTTCAATTAAAGAGTAGAAATTCAATAAAATAAATTTTCTCAAAGCGTTTTTTTTACTCTATAAATTGTTCAAGTGTTGAAGCTTGGCTTTTTTAAATTATCAAAACCATTTACAATAGATTTAGGGTGATAAAAAAGTGTATATGTTTTATTGCGGCGTAACCTTTCGATGTCGACTTCACCGTCAATGTCATTTCTATCAATGGACTAGAAGTTTCTGAAAACGACAACTATTTGGATCTGGGGTTGGGAATTGGAAGAGGGGTTGGGGGAAAACCACGTGGACTTGTGGAAAATATCAACAACGCAGAAGAAATTGATTGAAATGCGCAGTTTTGTATTATTATTTCATTTTTTTGTTTGATTGGGATGAGGAACTGGAAATGTAAACCCTCTCACATTTAATGCGTAATTAACATTTTACAGACGAAACGAAAGAGATGGCAAGACGTTGACAGAAAGAGAGAGAGAGAGAGATAAAGAATATGTAATATATTTTTGCCCTTTATCGGGGTTGCAAATTTCGCACGATTCTTTTCAGAGTTTTAGGACCAAACAAAAGCGAAATCGTTCATTCAATTATCTTTAATGCACACTCAGACCGCAACAAAAAACACCGATACAAATGAAGATAGAGGCACAGATACACGTTTGTATCTAGATACAGAATTTCCGTTTGGGCTCTTGTTTAATTTCCATAATGTTCCATGACGTTTCTCGACTGCTACCTCTCTCTGAATTTCCCTATTTCTCTTGGTTTTTCTCTGGATAATTGGCAGGCAGGTGATAGACATTCTACACTTTTCTATAAAATTCCAAATCGAAACAGAAGGTTTATTCATCTGAGGTGTGTCTTTAACTAATACAATAAGAATTCAAATCAAATTTAAACACTGTATTTTTCTTTGAACTTATTCCTTATTATTTACACAACACAAATCCATGGAATATAACTTAAATTCAAGAGTTTAAACTCATTAAATAACATTTTTAACACCTGCATTTCATAGCATATCAAAAAATACGGCCGAAAGCTATTCCAATCAAACACAAATATTGTAAAATAAATAGAATTTTTACACCTCAAGTATCAATTTCAATTTACCTAAAATTTAGGTAAACAACAGATGAAAAAGATTTATTGTGGTAACATGGTGTTTTTTAACCAAAAAATACAAACCATTTTAAGTGCATGAGCAAAATCCTTTAGAAAACACAAACGATGTAAAATAAAAATCAAACGAAAAAATGTACTGCGAAAGCTTATTGAACATACACACACCGTATAAAACTGAACTGAATCATATTGAAAACATCGGCAAGCATTAGTATATAAGGGGTTCTATAAGGTTCTATTCCCCCAACCAATTCTCACATTATATGGAGAGTGAACAAAATAAATGCAACCAAAATGACGCATTAGTTTGGCTAAATAAACAACAATAAATGCGATATGGATAGAAGTCCTACAATGGCGTAAAGAAAATTAGTAATGTTGTGATTATTGGGTTGATTAAAACAAATGCGCACTTACTAGGATTACAAAAATATTTTCTTTATTAAAAATGAAAAATTCATTAGCCTACAATTCTTCAAAAAGAAATAAATTTCTTTTTTAATTTTCCGTACCAAATAAATAGTACTTTTATCTATTCAATTTTTTAAAATAACCAAAAACTACCAATTGTTAAATCGTATTGCAAACCGCCCTATTTTTTCGACCGCTCATGTTTATAGAACCCCCAGATACACCATATAATAGACTTTTTAAGGCCAGAGAAACGATGTATTGACATTGACATTGAAATGCAGTTTTCTGTGTGAATTTATTTGTGCTACCTCCACAATTTAGCGTTATATAAATAGCCATAAGGGTTACAGAGAGATGGCCAGAGATATATACTTATATAGCCGAATAGCAATAATATGAGGGGTAGATAAACGTGTCCTTAGGCGTTTCGCCTGATCGAACAGAAGTAATAATATTACCAAAGGGGGGTAATTGGGGTTGGTTTTTCGGTGACTCATTACATGGTCTCACCTCACGATTGCCTTATGCGATTCATGTTATTCAGAGTGTTTCACCATTATGATGAACTCAGCTAAATGATATTTCCTCATTTCCAACACAAGTTGAACTTTAGATTAGGCGGATTAGTGAGTAATGGCGAAAGATCAACAAAAGTATGCCCATATATAGTGTAGATATCATACATAATTGAGTGTAGATAAGATCAGATAAGAAGAATATGACTAGAGCGATTTACCGCGTTGGGCAAATGTAAAAGAGACGATAATATATTTTTACACACATAAAAACAATTTGGATCCAAAAAAAAAATCAATTTTATATATATATTTTTTGCAGTGGTTGCTTAAATCTTTGGTGATTTTTCTAATATTCGGTTAACATTTGTGGTTGAAATTTGAAACTTACATAAAAATCTTTATAAAATAAATAATAAACATCGTCCTCAAGATTGTTGTTGTTGTTCAGTAGTTGTTGTTGTAGCTGCTGGTTGGTGTTGTTGTTGTTGATATTATTATTATTGTTGTAACTATATTGATAACTGTTGTGACAACTATTGCTGCTATTATTGTTGTTATTTATTTGATTGTTACACACTAGCAAATGTTGTTGCTGCTGCTGTTGTGGTTGTTGTTGTTGTTGTGGCAATAACAAAAGTTGCTGCTGTTGTTGCTGCTGCTGTTGCACTTGATGTTGTTGGTGTTGTTGATGATGTTGTTGTTGGTGTTGGAGATGATGATGATGATGGAAATGTTGTTGATAGCTGGGCGCCTGCAATTGCCAATTTTGCATTGCACACACATGTAGATAAAACCGCTACACATAAATATATATCTATTTTATATATATCTTTTTGGTATATTTAATTTTGTTTGATAACTGCCTGCGGGAAAAATGCACAAG